TTTAAATGTAAGAATGTAGTGGCGTAGAACATGTGTTGGTAAATATGTTACTTTGTTAAATTTGTTTGTTATCACCATAAATGTGTTCCGTGAAAGTAAAGCAAGTTCATAATTAGATAGACATTGTGAGGTATTTATTTTCGGTACAGTTTATGTTGAAACCGTTAGAGAGAGTGGAACACTTGTTAGCCTGTTCCATTCTTCTTCGTTTTCTGAAGCCGTGGCTTGGAAGCATACTTGCTTCGTTTCTGAAGGAAGTGACTTGGAAGTACGCGACTACCAAGCCAACACACTCTCACTCCCTAAGCGTCCAGGAGCGACGTTTGGTCAGTGTCCGTGGCGTCCAGTTGTGACGCTCCTAGGCTCCTTCAGCGTCATAAAGGGACGCAAATAGCTTTCAACTGATTGCAATGTATTCCCATCTGCGGCGGGATTTGACACTCATGGAAGCACGGCATTCGTTTGTGTCGGCTGCCCTTAAAGGCAATGTGAGCGTCCATTCCCATTGGATAACGGAGAATTGTACACCCGGAAGTAAGTATTCCTCTTACTGTCGATTGATTTTACAGTGATATCTGAACTACTCATCGACTAAAAAACACCAGATTATCCTTGTTAATTACACAACATTGATTGGTTTAAATTGTGGGCAATGCTTTTGTATTTTTCGACTTCGATTCGGAGAAACAAATATTTTTTCGGAGTAAAGGATGGCAGAAGACACTACACTACCCAGAATCCCCAGCTATCGTTTGGACTACACCATGTGCTCTGTTTGACAAACCCCGTTTTTTTCACCATTCATTCCAATGGCTGGCGTCTATGTCACGTGATCTTCAAATTTCTCCCTGCAGAAAAAGAAAACATGGCCGAACTTCGTTTTATTCTCGGTGGAAAATGCCTATTTTAAAGTTAGTTTGGCCATTAAAATGCGTTTTGATGTCACTTGATGCGAGAAATATGAGTTGTTATTTCAGATTATGTGTGCAGTGGATGTACATGATCTTTAGTTTGCTAGTTATTACGAAGATTACTTCAGGAAATCGCGACGTTTTCATTGTTACCAAGGTGGTTGCTAGGGACGCTGCTATCGATATTATTTCTGTTATGTTGTGTAACTGTTTAATGGTGTTATCTTTATTGCTACCCCCTTCCCCGTCAATGTACAGTATAGTGTTGGTCCACAGCGCAAACATATTAGTTTAACAAAATCCGCATCTAAAGATAGCCTACGTTATTTTCCCCTGTGCAATTCCAGTCTCACATTTCACAGCACATCGTCATTAACAAATACCGGAAACAGACCGAAAACATTAAAAAAAAAAAAATAATACTTTATTCCGAGTGTGCTTGCTTTTCTCTTTGAAAGTCATCACATAACGACATTGTAATACACAGTTCGGCTGCATTAAATATTACATATCTGCCGTAGTTCTGTATTTATAGAGCCCTGATGAGAAGACTTCTAGACAAACATGAGGAACTGAAAACGTGACGTGGATCATAAATAGATCAGCCATTAAACAACATCTTACATTTATTTTCACACAATACGTCTCCTTGCAGTATCAACACTAATTCGGCTGACTTTTATATTTGATCCAATTGGTAGATAGGCTGTATTTACACCATAAAGGTGCACACCTGATATAAAGGGACACCTAGTGGTTAAAGCATGTTATTGAATTTCATTATTTTTATTATTAGATATTAATAGGATCCCTATAAAGTATATTCATTACTCGTTATTCTCTACTAATAGTTAATTAAAGACTATATATAATGACTATTTTGAACATCCCTTTGGTTTCAAGATTTTCTAAGGTTTATTGACATATCATATAGGCCTACATAACTACTGTATGGTGTAGTTCTGCATTGAATGAAAACCTTGGGTCGCAGGTTCCTCAATAGTGCATTACAAGACATCTATCAATATTTGTGCGTACCTCCAGCAATGTTAACTATGTTGAAGCACTTATTTTAACTGATATTATACATCATGTATTATACTCTTATAAGATGTATGTAGATATTTCATCTCCGGCCTTGTCAGGTATGGAACAATCAATAAATAAAGAACACAGAATTGTTAAATATAAAACACAGAATTTGTGTGATTATACTAAATGATTTACAAATAAACACCACTGCATACAACTGTTACACATGCTGATGTAACGCAAATGTTCCAACTTGGGATCAATAAAGTATATCTTATCTTAAGCTGATCGATGGCTACTGCCATATTTGCAAAATTTGCCTCTGAACCTTGACAAGTGCATGTTTCAGGCTTATCAATTAATGTAATGTAATGTTATCAATTAACAACAGGGGTCACACACATAAGACCAGCTGTTAAATAAAGCTCTTCTGACCTTAGCTGGCATGTGTGTATATTAATGCTGCCCATTATGGGCACAAGCAATTTTCACCCATTTATTAATTATATGTTTTAAATTTGAGTGTTTCCTATCCCCTAAACCTCCAGGGATGTACACAGTTTAATACTGGCAACTTCTTATTATGGGAAATACGAAAACGTCTTTTAAAACTACAACTCCCAGTAGAGACGTGCCATAGATAGAGAACATGTTGCGAAACAGAATAGCCAGCATGTGTAGTTCTGGGGACGTGGTGGGGGAGGGGGGGACGCGGTGGACCCGTTCAAATCCAGTTTTGGACAGTCTGCCGTGCATGGTTCCATCCCATTTCAAGTGCTGTTCGAGAATCGGCGTAACCCTCGGAGCGCACTCTCCAATCACAGAGCTTGAGGACTATCACGGGGTTTGTCAAAGAGAGCACATGGTGTAGTCCAAACGATAGCTGGGGATTCTGGGTAGTGTAGTGTCTTCTGCCATCCTTTACTCCGAAAAAACATTTGTTTCTCCGAATCGAAGGGGAAAAATACAAAAGCATTGCACACAATTTAAACCAATCAATGTTGTGTAATTAACAAGGATAATCTGGTGTTTTTTAGTCGATGAGTAGTGCAGATATCACTGTAAAATCAATCGACAGTAAGAGGAATACTTACTTCCGGATGTACAATTCTCCGTTATCCAATGGGAATGGACGCTCACATTGCCTTTAAGGGCAGCCGACACAAACGAATGCCGTGCTTCCATGAGCGTCAAATCCCGCCGCAGATGGGAATACATTGCAATCAGTTGAAAGCTATTTGCGTCCCTTTATGACGCTGAAGGAGCCTAGGAGCGTCACAACTGGACGCCACGGACACTGACCAAACGTCGCTCCTGGACGCTTAGGGAGTGAGAGTGTGTTGACCAAGCCAGCATCCTCGCGATTGAGAAACGGCCCCGGACTTGTTCCTGTGCCCTCTGTAAAAAGTTTGTATTCCACTTCTGCTTCCCGACCCAAACCCCAGTGTTGGGTGTAACGCACTACAAAAGTAACGGAGTTACAGTAATGTATTACTTTTTGCTGTAACAAAGTAATGTAACGCATTACTAATGAAATGTGGGTAATATACTACCCGTTACAATTCTCAGTACCGCACAGTATTAACCCGAAATTAAATGGTGTTTTGTTTTTTAAGAATTCACTAACATCGCGAGACATTCCGACACCAGAGACAAATTGTGCGGGTAGATTAGTAAGCCTGGTGTTTACCCTTCGGGCTCATCAAGATCCCTCCGCTTTGCGTCGGGTTCCCTGATCAGCCTAAAGAAAATCATGTTTTCTAAAAGAACTACGCATCTCTTGAATGACAATATGCCTGCACTGCACCTCCCAGGTGCGTAATACATTATTGCGCAATGTATGCCTGTGAGCGTGCTGCACGAGCCGAGATGGTGTGTGTGTGTAATTGGACCTTTTCATATGTAAGTTTGTAGCAAGTAGAGGGCTACTGCTGTGTGTGTGTCCGTGTGTGGGTTTGAGTGTGCATGCGTGCGTGCACGTCAGTTTTAAAGACCCCCATAGAGCTCAGTTTCTAACTCGAACCCTGACCAAGCCGTGTAATAAAAGTTGTTAGCCTTAAGGGCCTACACAGTTGTTATGCTAAACCACATTGCCCTTCACTGGATGTATAATGAGCATTTCAAATACCTAGCCATTCTTTTGCGGTTATTTTGGTAAAGTAACTCAAAACTAATATAAAAGTAGTGTAACTCATTACATTTCAGAGACAGTAATACTGTAATGTAACTTATTACTTAAAAAATGCATGGTGGTGTTAGCTTTCTTAAGCATGCAAAAGGATTGGTTTGAATTTTGATGTTGATATTATTTTTCATTGCACCAGTATTTTGAAAACCAGGAATGTAGTGCTATTTGTTTAAGTGCTCCAACAATGCACATGTGAGCACGTTCAGGGCTGTGGCTCGTTTAGAAGGTTATGTAACCACTGTCAATTAACACTCTCCAGACAACATCGGCACAGCAGGAGAGTCAGTAAATCAGTCTGAATTGATCAATGAATGATTCAGGGTAATTCTCACAGTATTTGCTGCCCACAGCAGCTTTAGTACCAGAAGTTGTGTTACCAAATGAAATCCCGGAGCATCTACGTAAAGGCAGCAGGACTGATATGTTGATAAAACCGCAGCCTCTGAGAAGTGGCGCTGCAGAGGTGATACTGTGTGCTATTAACACACATCCATTAAAAGGCATCCATTTAGGGTGCATAAATCCCCTTTCCAACTTAGTTTTTTATCAAAAGCAAACCGTAATATCTTTATTTTTATTTCTATGGTGATTATAGTAATTACCTGATGGAAAGATCTTCCGCTATTGGTCTCTGTGGAGATGTGTGCTAAAGTTGTGAAGCTGAACATCTGGACATAAAGCTTTAGATTTCAGTGCGCTCCAGCAACACTACGCCCATTTATAAAACATGAAACCTGATAGACATCAGCTCTCTGGCTGACAGGGGAAGGTCAAGTTGAGATGACACATTGCGAACAAAGTCTGCAAACAAAACACCAGATGAATTTGTGGCTGATAAAGCCCGGCAGGATGCGGAACACCAAACTTACCGAGCACGCCCAGCCGATAGTTCATGGTGACCACGATGACATTTCCGTAGGCAGCCAGGACGCTGCCATCAAACAAGTTCCCTGAGCCCTCCATGTAGGAGCCTCCGTGGATGAAGAGCATCACAGGCTTCTTACGACGATCCCGAATATCTGCATGACAAAGACAAACAGCATTATTTTCATCTTCATTCAAAACGTTGTTTTTCTCGCATGCCTCCACGGTGAAAAAGAATGAAAAAACGTAGAAATGTGTAGAAATTGAAATAAATAGGGGGTCGCATTTAACTATGAGAACATCCTTTCACAAGCTCTCCATGTGCAGTATTCTCCAAGTCTCATTTATCAAGTCATAAGAGAACTCATTTTGTGCAAAGTATGTGCAAACACATGCATCAATTGCTAACACTTTTTAATACCTCTGTATAAACAGTCCCATTTTTGCGCAGGCGCATTACTTGCGAGCCTGAAGTATATTATATAGTAACGTTTTTGCATTTGTTTGGAAGGGAGTAAGTATAAGACTTGATAAATATTACGGATGTAACGACATATCGAATATCGCGGTAAATAAATGTCTCAATACCGTCGTGAGACTGACAAAATATACCGCGATTTTTCTTTTTTTAAAAATAATTTTTCTTCTTTTTTAAAAACCTTTATTCAACCAGGTGGTCCCATTGAGATCATCAATCTCTTTTTCAAGGGAGACCTGTCCAACATGGCAGCAAGTAAGTTACACCATGAACATAAAACAACAGATAACAATAAAGGACATCGTATTTACAGGGCTACATGTACATACCTAGAGACATTGACAAGTACCAACAGTATACTTATATCTCGCCCTGTCAATAAGCCTCAGCTTCTTGGCAAAAACTGTATTGTTTTTGAAGTGGTGGAGAGACAATGCACAGTTTTACCCACTGCTGTTACCCATGGCCAAAACATATCTCTCTGTCCCAGCAACATCAGTACCAAGCAAGAGAGGTTTTTCCACAGCAGGGGATATTGTAAACGCCCAAACATCCCAGCTTCTACCTCGAAATGTGGACATGCTCATATTCCTAAAAGATAAAGTGAGTGAGTGAGTGAGTGAGTGAGTGAGTGAGTGAGTGAGTGAGTGAGTTAGAGTTGAGTTACTTGAAAAACTAAAGTGAAACTTGATTTATTCTATTGCAGGGTCTGATTATTATATTGTTGACACTTTAAAATATTACGATCCTACTAAAATACTGTACAAATCAGATTTATTATTTACTAAAGAAAAATAATTCAAGTACAAAAAAAAAAAAAAAAGATTAAAAAAGAAAAATTCACATTTGTTTTCTTTATTTTTCAATTTTGCGATAAATATCGTACCGTGGACTTTTTATCGCAATATTATCGTACCGTGAGTTTTTGGTATTGTTACATCCCTAATAAATATACATGCATAATACTACACAAGTATGCATGTTTTGTGTAAACAGATTTTCAGATATACTTTGGCTGTTGTTGAATGTGGCCCCATGAAGTTCAATTAATCACAATTTTCACTGTCTTTACATTTTTTGTTTACTGTGGAGACATGCGAGAAAAACAGTTTTCTTCCAAAATTCAAACTTACTCAGGGTTCGAGTAATTGGTATACAAATGGTAATCCTTGGGGTGACATTTTTATTTTTAAGTGGCAACAGGTAGTCTACCCTCTTTAAACTGGTAGCTCTAGATTTTTAGAACCGCAGCAGTAAAAACAAACCCTCTACAACCAGTGGTTTGCTTGGAGAAAAAGATGAACATACTAAGTATGAAGCCTTTTCCATTGCCTTTAAGTTGGAAGCAAGTGTTTCATGTGTGTCCCACTGGGATTATCCTCTCTATTTTGTCCTGTGATGCGTCTCCCCCTATCCTGTGCCGTGATGGTACCTTCCCCAACTTTTCTTCCTCTGCATGTGTGGAGCAAATGGTTTCCACCGGTTCTCATGTCCTCTCTGTTATTGGTGCCCATCAGTGTGTTGCTATGGTTCACTCTGTCAGCCCCCCCACCCCCCCTCTCTTGGTACGGTCTGAGCGTGGATGAGGCTGCGAGAGCTGCCAGTGCAGCCCAGTTAGGCTGAGCGTCTGCACTGTGCAGGGCCTGTGGATAATTTGTATGAAAGCCAGACCAAGTGGAAACATAAATAACAGCCACAGCGTCTGTTTACCCTGATGAGCTTCAGCACTCAGAGATGGGGAAGAGAGAGAGAGAGAGAGATAAAAGGGGGTAAGATGTGAGGGAGCGAGGAGATGAAAATAGGGCAGTGTGAGAGAACTGACGGGGGGGAAGAGACATGGAGGGGAGGTTCACCGCTAAAAAAAATGATAGCAAGGACGAAAAAAAGAAATGTTACAAAGCAAGTCATACATAGCGAGGTACGCTAATGAACACTCAAATTCACACAGGATTCACACCGTATTCATAGAGACACACACACACACTCTTGCATAGGCAGCTGCGATGTCGAGTCGCTATGGAAACTGCTTCTCGCTAATAGAACTGCACCAGCCATTCCATTGCACCGACTCACTGAATGCCTGTTGCCGTGGTAACAAATTCTACTCACGTATTTGCACACCCGCTTGCATCACCACCTGAATCTCAGGTTACACATGCACTTGGGGTGCGTCACTCGCAATCGCACGCATGCATACACGCACACACACACACACACACACACACACACACACACACACACACACACACACACACACACACACACACACACACACACACACACACACACACACACACACACACACACACACACACACACACACACACACACACACACACACACACACACACACACACATACACACACACACACACACACACACACACACACATACACACACACATAAGGGGATGTGGAAAATGGCACATATGGCTTCACACATGCAGAGATCTTTTGTGGATCAAACGTGTGACACAGGCAGACTGGCTAAAAATAAAGATTTTCAGTCGTACACTCTGACGCGCTGCTCTTTTTCTGCTCTTCTCCGGTGTATTCTGGAGCTCGGCTGATTTCCCAGAGGATATGTAAACAAGTTCAATTATCCCGGCATTAACAGGATAGTATAGAGTAGTGACATATCAGAAGGTCTCGTAGTAACCCTCCCACCATAAATTAAATCCTGGGTGATAAGGAACTAAGGCTATGACATGTAGCAGCCATTTTAAAAGGTTCAATCTGTTATCTTTTATTTTACGTTTAAATGACAGAATGTTGGTGCTGTGTTTACACCATGACGTTTTTTTCATGCAAATGTAATTGTCAAACATCAAACATGCACTGATTTGGCCTCGTGGAGAAACAGAGATGTAGTCTTTATGATCCTGAATATTTTTTCCTACATTACCCATAAAGCAACTTGGTTTGTAAAAGTTGGGTTGGATATTCAGATGTGTGACGCTAGTAGCAGCTAATGTAGGCTCGAGCCTCAGCGGACTGCAGAGGTATGGTTTGCTTAGTTCTTTTTAACTCCAAATTAGGGATGCAATAAACTCCTATTTTGATAATCGATTACTATGTTGATTATTATCTCGATTAATTGGAGTGTTACATAGCGATGTCATTATGTTACGAAAGTCAAAAAAGTCCAATGGAGGCGTTTCAGGCAGGGGGAATTTTAGCCTTTGCTGACCACAAAAACCTATATAACCAATACAGGAAAGGGAAACCCCCAAAAGCATAATAGGTCCTCTTCAAGTATAATGAAATGAAATACATCTAAGAGGTTGGATGCAGGTTGAAGCGAGGGACATGGTGCAGTGATTGGCGGGGGCTCAGCACAAACAGAGGGGTGATTAGGGGGTGCAGGGTCGCAGGGGGAAAGTGTCTCAAGGCCTACAGGGCCAACAAGGAGCTCACTGTCCTTCCCGCCTGCCACCAAAACACTAGCACATTATTCACTCCTCTCTTTCCTACCTAACCTGATACTATCCTCCTCAAAATCCACCCTCCTCGCACTGCTATACTCAAGGCGACGTCTTACCTCCGGATAGAAACTGCCTACTTTCTGCTCCTCCATTATTCTGCTCCTCTCTCATTCATTCTCTATGGACTGCATTGATTTGGGGTGTAAAAAGTTTCAACCTGACTCAGCACTTTATTGTATTTGTGTGCATCCAAAACCCAGGCGCAAACAATGCAGTCTCTCGCAAATAACTTCAAAAAAACAAGAAAGAAAACAAGCTGCTAATAATAGGATTTCTAGGAATCCTTGTCCGATCTATACCTTAGTAATTAAAGTAAGGAATTTGGATCTACCCGAGCCACCCTTATCCTGTCAAGATCCATCAGGTGTTGGCATAAATGTCAAGCTCTACCAGTCTCCTCCTCATCCACCCTCTCAATCTCTCTCTCCCTCCACATTTCTCTAACTTTCAAGTTTTGTAAATGTCATTTCATCATGCACTTGTCTTCATTATGACTATTTCCCCCGTCCTCTCCCCCTCGTTGCCCTCCCCTTGTGCTCTCGCAGTGCTCAGCTTTTCCTTTTCTTTCATCTCTATTCTATCATTCTGCTCCTCTCCGAGGCAATCCTGCATGAATCCTTCCTTCTGTTTTCACCGTTAAGAAACCACACAATTGGATTAGCTACATCTGTCTCTTTTTAAACCATAGCAATTAGAGATGCAAGGGAGAGAGAATTCACTACCCAAATAGCACAGAACCCTCAAATAAAAAAAAGAAAGAAAAAAGAAAAACCACACACATTGGCACAAATTAGAACACATGCACTCAGGCGTAGATTTGCACATGCACCGCGCTCGAGTAGGCACACGATGCACAAATGCAGTGCACCCTACAGTATGTGTGCATAATGCTATGTAATACATACAGTACGTGTACAGAAACAGATGCACACTGTCTGCATAGATTTTGGTTGCATCAGTAAAGGGTAGTGAGAGCATCTCCATTCGCCTGCTGCAGTGAACTTGAAAATGCACAGCAAAAGCAGAAATATGCAGGAATCCTACTTCTTTAATAAATGAAAACTTGGAGGATGCCCAGAAACATTTTGAAGGACAATAATTCAGCAGTGCATTTCATAAGGACGTGAGTGCATCAAAAGCGCAGGTGAAAAAAAGGGAATGAATATTGATTTCCATTGATGCATCACGCAGGATAGTGAGAACATCAGTGTGGGGTTGATCAACCACATCGCAACCCAAGAAGGGAAAGTAAATTAGCTCCCTCTGCAAGTACCCAAAAACGCAGCGTTTGTGACAGGGGGGATGAAGAACAACTACTTTGTATGGAGCTCTTAATGCGCTTCAGCTAAACGTGTGCCTGTGAGGAGGATTAGCAGATTTGTGCGCGAATAAAAGCAGTTAACATCGCACAATGTCATTTGCACACACAGCGATGAGTCTAAGATGATTATTAATACAGATGCTAACACAACAATCCCTACAGAGCTAGTACAATGGAGCAAGAGGAAGAAAACAAAAACATTAAAATACCTTCATCCCTTGGTCTGTTCATCGTAGACTCGTCTTGTTTTTTAGTGAGCGGACCTAAGGTGTGGAAAAAAGAGGGGTGGGGGAGACAACATTACAAATTAAAAAAGATTGCATGTTGCAGAAAAGCAAGAGAAGAATAGAAGGGATATAGAGATGTAATACTGTGTTACTTTTCAGTGGCTTTTTGCATCTGCAGAGAAAAATGTTAACGCACCGTTTCTTTCAAAGATTTTCCCAAACTCATCTGTTTTAACTGCTTAGGATCAAGTCACGCACTGCCTTGAAATGACCCCAGAGGCCACTTCTCCTCAACCCTGCTCCCTATCAGTCCTGACACTCTGCTGCTCTGTAAGGGAAAATCAATGAGCAGAAACAAGCCATCACTCTTTTTGGTCAGAAAAGGAATGCCAAGATTTTCTGTATCCTGCTCCGGCTCAGGACAGTGTTGCAATCCTGAGGCCGAAAGTCACCGCACAAGACTGGAATGTCAAAACACTTAAGACACACACAGTGCTCATCCTGAACACATGTGACCACGTACACTCAGAGAAACGCTGGCACGCAGCCTGAAATGTGAGTCTTTCCATCCAAATTAGCAAAGAGGGAGCTCTTTGATATTTACAAAGGATCCCCCTCACCAAGGTCAAAGAGGAGCCCCACATTGAGCTTTAATGGTAAAGCCAGTTAAACGCTCCATAGGGCACAGCCAATAAAAAGCATTAATCACAGTGACCAACCAACGCCCTGGTGCGTCAACCTCTGTAAGTCTGAACTGATAAGCAACCCATTAGTTGGTTTTTCCTTGGTTTGTGTCGGTGAAGCTTTCCATCAGCCCACAATTACCGCTGCGTTTTCTGTCCTTCTTATTCACTGTCTACATCCACACGCCTTTGAGAAAGCCATTAAAACACACTCACGTTCACACACACACACACACACACACACAACAAAGCATGTTAACAGTGTCCTTATCATCTGTTGCTGCCCTCATCTCCGTACCCACCCAGTAGCACATTCCCTGCTCCACGGGGGCGGCTGCAGTCTCTCATTCTAAAGGATACTCTACATAGGGTTGCCGAGGGGTTTATCACTCTGCTGGAGTGCTGCTGACATGTCTGTCTGTTCTACCCTTCTGTTGGGAGCCTACATACTGTAGGAGTATAGAGCCAGGAATAAGGAAAGGCATAAGACATTTTGTAGAGTATCCTTTAGAATGTCCTCAATTCGATCATTAATCCTTGTGATGCTTCTCCAATTGTGCCATCGACTACTCTCTATGATAAAAATGTTATCGAAAAAGTATCTGCTCTTAGGCTAGCCCACACTAGTGCTAACCCAGATTCTGCTCCTTTTCTGTGCCCTGCTGTCCTTGACCACTTTGAACCTGTATCCCTACAGTATCTTCTCTCTCGGATGTAGTCAAGCACCTGCGGCTGACAAACTGCACCTCAGACAGCATTCCCTCTTGCCTTCTCAGAGATGTTTTCGAATCAGTTGAAGCAAGTGTTTTATTGCTTGTAAACACCTCTCTTAGCTCAGGATGTGTCCCAGCTGCCTTCAAAAATGCCGTGGTGCAGCCACTACTTAAAAAGAAAAATCTCGATCCCTCCATTCTAGCAAATTTTAGGCCCATCTCCCAGCTACCTTTTTTATCTAAAGCCCTGGAGCGAGTAGTCTATATCCAGCAACAGTCGTTCTTAACCACGCATGGCATCCACAAAAAGTTTCAGTCTGGCTTCAAACCTATGCACAGCACTGAAACAGCCCTTTTAAGAGTTTTTAATGATCTGCTTCTAGCCGCCGACTCAGGTAGCCCAGCTGTCCTGGTGCTGTTAGATCTGACAGCTGCCTTCGACACTATGGACCATAGCATCCTGTTGTCATGGCTTGAACAGTCCGCAGGCATCACAGGCTCTGCACTTCCATGGTTCAGGTCCTACCTGACAGACTGTAGCTTCGCAGTGCAGTTAGGTGCCTTCTCCTCTGCTAAAGCCCCTCTTACCTGTGGGGTTCCCCAAGGCTCGATCCTGGGCCCCATCCTTTTTCTACTGTATATACTGCCCCTAGGTTCAATTCTCACAAAACACAATATCCCCTTCCATTGTTACGCTGATGATGTACAGATCTATCTGCCTCTCAATCAAAATGTCAACTCACTACAGCAGTCGAAGGACTGCTTAACAGAGATTACATCATGGCTGAGCCAAAACTTCCTCAACCTCAACGAGAGCAAGACCGAGGTCATCTTTTTTGGACCCCGACCTCCAGCCTCCCCGGTAGGGTTGGGAACCGAAACTCGGTTCCAGATGAGAACCGATAAGAAAATGCCGGGTACCGGGTACCCATACAAAATACACAATTTCGGTTCTGCTTAACGGTTCCTAAACGCGGTAGACCCTGTATTCCAGCGGGTCCGTCTGCACCGCGGTGCTGCGGTGACCCGGTGGAATACAGGGCGGACCTGGAGAATCACAGAACGGCCGGTCGTCAGCGGGCCGTTGACGGCCGGCTCGGTACGCTGACGGCCGGCACCGCCCTTCATTTTTTTAAACGGCATCATATAAATTGCGCTGACAGGCGACAGAGGTCCACAGTTGCCCCGCAGCGATGCTCCCCCGCCCTCCCGTAGACATTTCACGAGCTCAGTCACTTCATAACACCAAAGATAGGTCGCGGTAAACGCTCTGAAGTGAGGCTCCACTACACTAAAAAATTAAAAGAAAAGGCAAAGTGTAATGCCTGTTAATAGCTTGCCACAGGCATAGCTCAGTTAAAATAAAGCACAGCTATTGTGCAATACATTTGTATTGCATGTATATTTTTTAGTAACAATTTCAGTTAAAGCTTTTAAGAATAAATATATTTTTGTTATCTAAACGTTTGACCTCTTTATTTTACAATTTTGGAATCGAAACGGGGAATCGATAAGAACCGGAATTGATAAGCAGAACCGGAATCGAAATCGGAATCGATAAATTTCAAACGATACCCATCCCTACTCCCCGGTTGATATTCTGGGCTCCATAAGTAAAAATATCCTCCCCTCTGTCACAAACCTTGGAGTGACCTTCAATAGCGCTTTTAAATTTGATAAGCAGGTTAGCACCGTAGTCAAGACCTGCTTTTTCAAAATACGACTATTGGCTAAGACCAAGTCGTTTTTATCTTTTAAAGACCTAGAAAGTGTTATTAACACCTTTGTTACCTCAAGACTGGATTACTGCAACGCTCTGTATGTGGGTATGGATCAGGCCTCAATTAGACGCCTGCAGCTAGTGCAGAACGCAGCTGCACGTCTTCTCACTGGCCATAAAAAGCGTGACCACATCACCCCAATTCTGGCCTCACTGCACTGGCTTCCAATTCGGTTCAGAATTGATTTTAAACTCCTTTTATTTGTTTTCAAAGCCCTAAATGGGCTGGCTCCGGCCTATGTAGCCAAACTCCTCCATCGCTACACCCCAGCCAGAGCCTTAAGGTCGGCTGACCAGCTGCTGCTGGTAGTGCCCAAGACCAGGCTCAAGACCAGGCCTTAGGCTCTGGAACATTTTGCCCCTCCACGTGAGGTCGGCCCAGATATTAGGGTTTTTTAAATCAACACTTAAAACTCACTTCTTCTCTCTGGCCTTCTAGCCTTTTCTTATCAAGCTCCACTTTTGTGGAATCAGCTTCCAGTTTGTGTTCGGGCGGCCGACAGCCTATCCGTTTTAAGAGTACGCTTAAGACCTTCCTTTTGATAAAGCCTATAGTTGATAAAAATAACCTAATGAGATTGCTTTGACGCAGATACGCTGTGCCTCTTCACCTACATTTTTTGTTCTTGCTCTTTCACTTAAATCCTAAAAACTTGGATCTTATATTTAAAACTTAGGTTATTACTACTCTTTCTATTTTTTCTTTATCCAAAACCTTTTCCCTCCATGACCTCACAAGGTTTTATTGGAGGGAAACAGGTTTGCAGAGGGGTCCTTATCCAAGGCCGGGGAGTGTTATGCCGTAGTCACAGCGTACCTCCTTATCTCTCACCAATTCCAACTAAGGCCCCAGCGGGGACCTTGCTCCCTGCGTCTGTCTGTCTGTGTCTGTGTATTCTCATGTTCCGATTAACCGAGCCTCCCCCAAATTTTCTTTTGTGTCTATATCTACGCCGGGATCCGGAGTCGAGGCTGATCCTCTTGCTGTGGTCCTGTGCCCTGGATCCTCTATCCTGAGTTCTGGATTAAGTCGTGGACTTCGGGTTGTGGCTGGGCCTGTCTCTGCGGTCCTGCCTGGGTCTCGTCATGCTGCTTCCCTGATGGCTTCCACAGGATTGTAGCTGACATCCTCGTGGATTCATCTTCTTATTATAGACACATGCATTTCCTAACATTCGGCCTACCTACGCTGTAAAATCTTTTCGATTTACTCACGGCATCTATTAATAATAATAATAATAATAACTTTATTTGTATAGCACCTTTCATACAGGGGATTGCAGTTCAAAGTGCTTTACATCAGTAAAAAAACAAGACATAAAATCAGTGTAAAACAAGCAGCAAGAGCAAAGCATAAAATGGGATAAAATAATTTAAAATAAAAACATGGGGAATAAAACATAGAGAAATAGTGCAGTGTCAATCACAGAGAATAGTGCAGTATAATAGTGTAAAATCAGTAAAATGCTTTGGTAAAGAGATAGGTTTTAAGCTGCCTTTTAAAAATGCCCAACGTATTGGCTTCCCTAATATTGTTGGGTAACGTGTTCCACAGTTTTGGGGTGTAGTTTACAAAGGCTGCATCACCGATCTTCTTATGACTCTTTCTGGTGACCACTAATAGACCTGCATCTGATGATCGCAGTGTTCTGGCGGGTGTGTAGTTTATTAGAGAGTCAGCAATGTAGCTGGGTCCTTGTCCATTTAGAGCTTTGTATGTGAGGAGAAGCACCTTAAAATAAATTCTAAAAGTTACAGGAAGCCAGTGTAGAGTAGCTAAGACAGGACTAATGTGTTCCCTCCTTTTGGTATTCGTTAGTAGTCTAGCTGCAGAGTTTTGAATGAGCTGGAGTCTTCCAA